GGCTAATTTTTGTATTTTTAGTAGAGATGGGGTTTCGCCATGTTGGCCAGGCTGATCTCGAACTGCTGACCTTGTGATCCACCCACCTCAGCCTCCCAAAGTGCTGCGATTACAGGCATGAGCCACCACACCCAGCCTAACATGCTATTTTATTATTTATTTTTTGAGACAGAGTTTTGCTCTTGTTGCCAGGCTGTAGTGCAATGGCGCGATCTCGGCTCACCGCAACCTCCGCCTCCCGGGTTCAAGCAATTCTCCTGCTTCAGCCTCCCCAGTAGCTGGGATTACAGGCATGCGCCACCATGCCCAGCTAATTTTGTATTTTCAGTAGAGACAGGATTTCTCCATGTTGGTCAGGTTGGTCTTGAACTCCTGACCTCAGGTGATCCACCTGCCTCGGCCTCCCAAAGTGCTGGGATTACAGGCGTGAGTCACTACGCCCGGCCTCATGTTATTTTATAATGTGAAAAATAGAAGACTTCTTCCCCCACAGGAGGATCTGAATTGAGAGTTCCCTCCTACTGCCCTGGGTGGCAGGGGAAGCTCTTTTATAGAGAAAGGAGTAAGGGTGACTGACGGCAATCTGAGTGGTCAGGGAGGGATTGCTCCCAGGCTGAGATGTTTGGTTGTCTGCTCTGCCTTCCTAGGGGTCCGCCTGAGTGCATAGCACAACCTTCCTCACCTCTGCACCTGCCAGGCCAGGCCCTGTGTGGAGCCCCGTTAGCTCCATATGCCAGCGAGCTCATTCAATTTTCTGTCAATAGTGGCAGGAGGGCACTATTTACACCAGGGGAAACTGAGACTCAGAGGGTCTAAGCCACTTGCACGCTGTCGCGCAGCTGGTAAATAGCAGATCCAGCCTACACGAGGCCCAACTGGTTCTTGAGCCCAAGCTCTTGAGCCTTTCGTGGAATTGTCCTCCATCCAGCCTGGCTGGGCTTCCCAGGTGGTATCCCAGGGCCTGATAGTCCCCAGCAGGGGTTGCCTCTGTGCCAGCCTTGTGTGGGGCTGGTGGGTGTAGGCACTGGAGGGAGGTCATGCCTGTCCCTCTGAGGAAGGGTAGCAGGACTCACCTCCTTGGCCACAGTTCCTCTCCCTGTCAGCCATGGGTGCCTGTGTGGTTTTCCATCTGCTGACGCAGACTCCCAGGCCCACTTTCAGGAAGGGGAAGGCATATACCCTTCACCCTCCACTCCCTCTGGCTCAGGGGCCCAGCTGTGCTGGAAAAACTCTAGGTGAACTCCTGCTTGCGTGGGGAACCCTCCTGCCCTCGTGCAGGCTTCCCTTGGGAGTGGGCCTGGGTGGGGGACGCTGCCCTGGAGAAAGTCCAAGGGAAAAAGCAATGCTGGGGCCCCAGATTCTGAAAACAGGATGTGGGTTGAGGGCGCTGCTGACCTCCCCCTCCCGACCTCCCTCTGCCCCCGGCAAAGCTGCTACCCGCCCCCTGCCCCCAGCCACAGGGGCTCAGGGTCACACCTCATCTCCCTCGACTGTCCAGGAATGGTCCCCACCCTGTCCTATCCTGTGGCTCCTGCTGGGTGAGGCCATTGGCGCCACCTGGAAAAAGCCCATCAGACCGCATCTGCCTGCGCGAGTGGAAAGCAGCTGAGGTGGTGGGCCAGGGTGGGGCAGGAAGTGGAAGGCCCACAGTCCCCCTGTGCTGTCTGCAGCCTGTGATGCCACAGGGCCAGGCCCAGAGACTACAACCTCAGGCCCCGTCGTCCTTCCCTGATAGCACCATCCAGCCTGAGTGTTGCTGACCCTGCTTAGATCTGGCAGCTGGCGGCCCCATTCTTGGCCATGCTCAAAGACAGGGGCCGGGCTGAGAGGCCAATCCTGCCTCGCTCCAGTCTGTTCCAGACACCTCTCCCTGGCCATCGGATTGTGGGGCCACTGCTCATGTCAGACACACATGGGTGCACGTATCTGTTTGTACCCAGTAACTATCAGCCATGGTCAACCCCACCATGTTCTTCAATATCGCCACTGACGGCGAGCCCTTGGGCCGTGTCGCCTTCGAGCTTTTGCAGACAGGTTTCCAAAGACAGCAGAACACTTTCATGCTCTGAGCACTGGAGATAAAGGGTTTGGTTATAAGGGTTCCTGCTTTCACAGAATTATTCCAGGGTTTATGGGTCAGGGTGGTGGCTTCACACGCCATAATGACACTGGTGGCAAGTTCATCTGCAGAGAGAAATGGGATGAGGAGAACTACTTCCTGAAGCGTACAGTCCTGGCATCTCGTCCCTGGCAAATGCTGGACCCAACACAAACAGTTCCCGGTTTTTCATCTGCACTGCCAAGACTGAGTGGTTGGATGGCAAGCGTGTGGTCTTTGGCAAGGTGAAAGAAGGCATGAATATTGCGGAGGCCATGGAGCGCTTTGGGTCCAGGAATGGCAAGACCAGCAAGATTAGCATTGCTGACTGTGGACAGCTCTCATGAGTTTGACTTGTGTTTTATCTTAACCACCAGCCCATTCCTTCTGTAGCTCAGGAGAGCACCCTCCACCCCATTTGCTCACAGTATCCTAGAATCTTTGTGCTCTCGCTCAGTTCCCTTTGGGTTCCATGTTTTCCTTGTTCCTTTCCATGCCTAGCTGGATTGCAGAATTAAGCTTATGAATATGAAATAAAAACTAACTAACTAAATAAAAATAAATCATTTGTAAGGCCCGGCATGGTGGCTTATGCCTGTAATCCCAGCACTTTGGGAGGCCGAGGCAGGCAGATCACCTGAGGTCAGCAGTTCGAGACCAGCCTGGCCAACATGGTGAAACCCCATCTCTACTAAAAAATACAAAAATTAGCTGGGCATGGTGGCACATGCTTGTAATCCCAGCTACTCAGGAGAATCGCTTGAACTCAGGAGGTGGAGGTTGCAGTGAGCTGAGATTGTGCCACTGCACGCCAACCTGGGCGACAGAGGGAGACTCTATCTCAAAACAAAAAATATATATATATATATGTGTGTGTG